AAAACACGCACATCAGCTGGGCCGGGGGACCGGGGCCGCACTCTCTCCTTAGAGGCTTGAACAAGAGTTGCCCTCAGAGGGAAGAAAATACGTGCACAACTACTGCAAGGAAGGCTGAGACTCAAATTCCTCCACCCTGTTTAATAGCAATCTGTAACAGATATAAATAAATTGTGACTATTCCTATTTCTAATCTTATTGGGAAAATTTTAAAAACTTTAAGGACAATTAGCTGACTGCTACTTCGGTGATAAGTTTAGTTTCTACCCATACTCCTTTCTCAGCACCAAGCTGCACTTTGTCTTGAACACAAACAGTATTTCACATCAACATGGGATCAGAAAATACAGAAACGGACCATAGGGCACTGGACGGTCCATTCTAGGCAGACGGGCAGAAACGCAGCGACACTGGGCGCTGCAGCTGCTGTCTCAGGACGAGGCCTGTGACATCCTGGACTGATACCGACGTCTCTTCACCAGGTCCTCAAACTGAACCAAAACAATTACAGATCAAGAGCGACCTGTCGCTTCTTTTCACTGAGTCTCCCCGCTCCTATAGGTGTCAGACTCTGGTTTGGGGGCTGTCACCAGAAAATGCCAGGCCTCACGTCCTGCCCAGTGAACGTGCCCCTCGGTGCAAGGCCCTGGTGCCAGACGCTCAGTGGCCCCAGCGCGGGCGCTGCATGCGTGGTGTGCACGGGTCACAGGCCTCGGGCAGGGCCCCCGCGTGTCACGCCTGGCCTGGGGCCTTCCTGCCGCAAATGGCTGTCAGGAAGAAGGGTAGGCCAGCAGCTTCCCAAAGTCCCACTCTGTGACTTCCAAGTCCCCCACTATTTTCCTGCCCCCACCCACCACAGAAATGGCTGTGTGCACAAGGGAGGGGGCTTGTTTCTCAGCCACGAGTGTTCCAAATGCTTGCAGGTCACAAGTCTGCTCGCACACTGGGGATGGGCAGACAGTAGGGGAACCAGGGAGGAGGGTGGGGGGGTCCCGGGAGCCTGCTTCCTGAACATGGGGTTCTAGCAGCCAAACTTGGGAGAACTCACCCAGGGTGGCCGTGAGTTTATGCACCTGCAAAGGAAGCTCTCTGATGAGACCCCACTGTGGGGGCGCCTAGTGCCTGTAGCCACCCACTGGCTTAGGAAAGCCGCGTGCCCTCAGAGCAGGGAGGGCGAGCAGCCACGTGCAAGCTGGCTGGGGGTGGTGTGAGTCGAACGGAAGAGGTCAGAGTTGCTGTGTGTGGAAAAGCCTGCGTTAGCACTTTGGTCCGTAACAGAATGACTTCTGGCCTGACTGCAAATTCTACAGTGTTTTTGTCACACTTATATGCTAATAATATAAAGCCTCAGTTGGAAAAACAAGTCAGATGCATGTGTCTGAATACTAATGACGCTTCTGAAGATCAATGTCTGTTATATCGATCAGCTGCGCGGAGGCCCGGCCCTGACTCTCTGCCTCAGGGCCGGGAGTGCCGACCGGGCGCGGGCCCCGCCGGCCAGCGCTCGGGAAGCTGAGCCCGTTCGCCTCCAGGGCCCAGGGGAGCTCCTCCGAGGAGCTCGCGTGCTCAGAGAGCGTGGCCCTCATCTCGCTCCGTGCTGCCCTGGATGCCAGGGGGCCCCCGCGCCACCTGTTGGGCTGTATAACCCCTGACACAGTCTGGGTTCCCAGAAAAACTGAGTTCCAATTTCCCGCATGGTCGTCCCACTTGATCTCTTTGACTCTGAACCACGCAGAGGTATGTGTGCTTACCAGCTGCCTCAAACTGGTCATGAACTATCCACATGAACATGCACGAGCAGAGGATCTTTCGGCACCACTTTTGACGGCAGAAAGGCCATCCCATGAAATACGTGTTGGGACTTCAGCGCCCCCCCTCCCCCGGGGTTTTAACCAGGACCCTAAATTGTGAGCTCCTCTTCCAGCTCTTGCTCCCACTCACAGCGATTACCGGGTGGGCGGCCACCCGGCCCCCGTCCCATCCCCCTTCCTACCCTCCGCGCCACCTCTGCCAGCTGAGGGCAAGTAGGAGAGCCGTCAGTCCCCCAGCGCGCACGGGAAGCCAGGGCCCCGGCGGCGCCGGCCGGCCCTCCTCCGAGGGCGACCGCGCGTGCCCCACCGGCAACAGCGCGTACTGAGACTGGGGTTAAGGTTCGGTTTCCTTAGATGTTTTCTCACCACAAAAAGAAAGATTAGGGGTCAAATATAGGATGATGGAAGGACAGTTGACTTTATACACGATGCAGCATGAGATGATGTGTTACAGAACTGTATGCTTGAAACTTACAGAATCTTATTGTCGCCCTGATAAATTTAATAAAATAAGAGGGGAAAAAAGATTAACTAGTAGGCAGCACTTTATCACTTGATATCAAATTTTCTAAAAATTATTGTGATTTTTGACATTGTTGATTCCACACACCTGTTTCAAGTTACTTTTTGCCTGTTCAACAGAGGCATGAACGGAAGCTTCAACATATTAAAATAACACTTTTTACTTGGCTATGAACTGATGTGACATATGAATGAAATAGAATTGAAGCCCTAACAGAAAAACACCGTTTTTCAATGACTGTCCTGAAAAGCACGGGCAGCTTCACCAAAACCCGAACAGGGGCCGCCACCCGGCAGCGCCCCAGAGGCGGGCTGCGCGGGTCTCCAGGGGTCCAGGCCAGGTGGGGAGGGTCTGTGTGTGAGGGCGGCCGGGGGCGGATCACAGAGGAAGCCTTTTAAAACCAGAACACAGTGCAGATGGAACTGGCACCTCACAACTGCGAGACGGGGCACCGCAAGGGCACTAATGGGCACGTGTGCCTTGAGACCGGAGGGGGCGCTTTTTAGAGGTGAGAGATCCAGTGTCGCCCCTCAGGTAGAAATCACTGGTAACATGCAGACATCAAGGAAAAGGCCCAGAACGCCCCCCCGGTTCTTCCAGGAGCCCCTCGGAGAGGACCCTCGTCCGGGAAGGCAGGTTCTGAACAGTGACTAGTCTTGCGCAGCAAAGCCCGCGACTCCCCCGTTAGACCCGAGGAGGGCGAAGCCCGTGGGCGCGGCGCGGCGCGTCCAGAGCGCACGGCTCAGCGGCGGGGGTGGAAACACGCTGGGCCCCTGGACGGGGGGCGGGCCTTCCACCTGTGCACCTCGTCACAGCCCCCAGGGCACTGTTCCCATCGAAATAGTAGGAATTCTAACAATCACACACACGATGACTCATGGCAAAAATCAGAACATTTAATAAACTAAGTTACGATGTTTGCTGAAAGATTCCCCCTTGGATGTTTCTGTAACTCTTCTCAAAAGCCCCGCCTGCTCAGCTCCTACAGAACTCAGGGGCTCGGGCCCACACCAGCCTCGTTGTCTCGGGCCTCCCTGAAGCCGCGCCCCGCCCGAGGCTGCCACTCAGCTCGGGGGCGGGGGTCCGGGGGCAGGCGGGGGTCCGGGGGCAGGGGCGGGGGTCCAGGGGCAGGGGCGGGGGTCCGGGGGCAGGCGGGGGCGCACCCCGGGCCTCAGCGGGCGGAGCGTGCCTCGCCAGGCCCTCACGCGTCGGAAATAATTCTTTGGAAACCTGACGCTTTTTCCTGCAAAACTGTGGTTATGAAATCATATCTAGTTGACACCTAATTAAAACTTTTTGGCATAAATTTTAACTATTGACTAATCAAGAGATGATTAGAGGAAAAGTAGATTTCACTCATGATTTGCTAACCTGTTCTCCAGTGAAAACATAAACAATGTGGTTCTTCTGAAACTTTTCGATTAAGATTTACATAAATATTCCTTCATAAAATAGCATAAATTTTTAAATCAGCTATTTGAATTACATAGCCCAACAATTTACTTTTATACAGTAATAATACTAATAAATATTTTAAATCACAAAATTTCCTTTAAGAAAACTTGCTATTCCTTCAGTACATACGTAAGAGAAGTCTGATAACCATTTCTATCGTGGATGTTCACTAAAAATTCCCTGCCTCCTTAAATGCTAGTGTGGGGATTTGGGGAGTAATTTGTAACTTTTCCCTTGATTTTACTAGAGGACATTCAAAATAATGGCTTGATTTCATCCATAAATTAACGTTCAGCAGGGAAGGACAGAAACTGCGGCAGGGAAGGAGGGGCGCCTTGCAGGCACCTGCCCGGGCACCTGCGCTCTGGTTCCATGGGCCCGGCTTCTGGCGGTTCGTCCAGCTGAACGACCTCAGTCCCAGTTTGTGAAAATTAGCTACAAACTTATTACGGCCTGCGAACGCGTCCACCTCGTGACACAGGGACTCCCCCTGGAAGGCAAGGCTGCTTCCGCACCAGGAGGAGAGCTTCCTGGTGGAGAAGGTCGCCCAGAGACCCGTTTCTGCGGGACACCCCTCGGCCGCCGCTGAGCCCGACGGGACTCTGGGGACACGTCTGCCGCCACAGCCGGCCTCCCCACCTTCTAGATGCTTCCACACCCGTCTCGGAGGACGTAAACCCCAGCAGTTATGCGAATGGCGTAATCCTTCAAAGCCCCAAATCCTCCTTAGGCGACCTGCCTTGCCCCCCTCCACCGTAGCCTCCCCCGCAGCTGCCAAGTGCTGGGCTTCGGTTCTTGTCCCAGGACAAACTGTTTAATTATGGAAGCCACATTCCTGCAGAAAGATCTGAAGGTCACACTTTGATTTACCATCTGTGATTTATTATCCTGCAGCTACCGGCACAAGGAAGTCGGGAAGGAGAAGAAACCTTCTCAGTGACCGTGTAGGGGGGTGTCAGCGCGCTGTCCCCATGCATATGGCAAAATGAGTTTCAGGCTGGTCTTAATTTGTGTCATCTTACGAATTACCGTACATTCTGCCCCATGAAAGAGTGAGGATGGCTTACGTTTTGAGAACCTGCACAGGAGACTAAGGACGGAGCTGCTGTAGGAGAGAAAGCAGCACGAGGCTTGCTGTGCCGCAGGAGCAGTGCCCGCCCATTCGCATCATTAGCGACGCACAACGCAACGAGAGAAAACGCAGGCATTACCTTCTGTGTCTCGCGTATTTGCCACTGACGTGACCGCTGCCGTCGCAGCCGGGAGTGGGACAGCTGCAACAGGAAAGAAGGGGTTACGGGGGCCGTGCGCTCTCCCCGCTGCCCTGGAGCTTGGGGTTGACCTTCCGTGACAGAGAGGAGGGGGAGGGCCACACAGACGGACAGAGAGAAACCCAGACGCGGGGGTGGGGGCGGGGAGGCTCTTCATTGGCGACGCTCGGGGGAAGCAGTCTCGTGGGGCAGCAGGGCGCGTGGGAAAGCAGCCGTGACCGCGGAGGGCGCGGCCTCCCTAAGCTGCTGGTGGGGGACCGCGACCCACAAAGCACTAACCTGAACAGCTCCTGGATGGCGGGCTCCACGGGCACTGCAGAGGGAAACAGACAAAAACGCGTCACCCACCACAACCCCCCTCCCACTGCCGAGTCCCGAGAGGGCGGTGCCCAGGCAGCGGTCAGGGCACCAGGCCAACGGCTGCAGCAGGTGCAGGCGACCCCGCACGGGGCCTCTGGGAACTCCGGGGCGCGGGGACGTACCTCGAACCCCTTTGGACCGTGTGCGATGACGCTTCTCCTCGGCGTCCACCTCCATCTGGGGACAGATGAGCAGGCGGTCAGTGTCCCTCTCCTGCAGGCCAAGGCCAGCAGGCATGCACTGTGCCCTGGCATTTCGGTGACAGCACTTGACTCCTGCTCCCCTCTGTCAGGGAGGCCTCTTCCAGGCGGCTCAGGGAAGAAAGTGCCCGGCAACCCCAACGTGTCAGAAAGGACGGGGCGGACTGCGACCTTGTAGGGAACGCTCTCAGGAGGTCCCGCCTGTGTGGCGGACGAGCCTCGAGCACAACCTGGCTCCTCCCTTTTGAAGGCTGACCGGGTGCGTCTGGGCCAGTCCCGAGTGGAGCTTTGTGCCAAGAGTGTCACAGAAAGCCCTTCGGCTGGCCAGGGGTCCAACTCCCGGACTCTCCGTGGGACGGGGGGCGCCCTGCTCACACCGCTAAGAGGGGAGGGGCGGGTGTCATGGACGCCGCTCCACCCGGGGACGCCACGGCCACCGGGCTCCTGGGGTGGCTGCCGCCCCAGCCGCCTCGCCTGTCGGGGAGCTGCTCTGGGCCTCGGTCCCTTCCTCACGGCGACCCCGCACGCCTCACAGCCTGGGGACGGCCGAGCGTTTCCCTGTTCGGCCCTGGAGACCCTCCCCACAGCTCTGTGCGGTAGGCGACTCTGTCGGGTCTCTTCTGCAGACCTGACTGGCCCCGGGGCGCTCGGGAGGAGGGGCTGGAGCAGGGCCCTGGATCCAGCCAGGGGAGCACAGAGGGGGCAGGCATGTGCTCGTGTTCCGTGCACGGGGCACTTCACAGCACGAGACTGATTGAGACACGGAGAGCCACGTGCAGGCGACTCCAGTCCCCCAGCAGGGCTGGCGAGAGGAAGCAGGGGAGAGACAGCGGACCCTCAGACGGCATCCACACAGCCGCGCGGCTCCCGCGAGCCCCCCACGCCCTGCGCGAGGCAGCCAGGGCAGCCCTGACGTGTTGGCTCTGTGCATCACCTCCTCCGGCCTGAGACAGCCACGGTCATCGGGCTGAGACGCCCCGCGGGACGCCCGGCGCAGGGCAGCACGGCCCCCACAGGGAGACCACCAGGTGTCACAGCCTCGTGTGGCGGCTCCCACGCCCCATCCCTATCACCTGACCGCCGAGTGTCAGGACAGAAACAACACACATGCCTTCCAGGGGCATCGTGTCTGTTCTTGGGAGACCGACCTGTTCCGATGGCAAGACTGCCACGGAATCAAGAAGGAATCCCAGAGGAGGAGGGGCCCGTGTGAAGCGGGTCACCGAAGGAAGACTGCCCAGGAGAGCTGTGACACTGGAGGGGGCCTGGAGTGGAAGGGAGGGGGCAGCCTGCCCCGAGCTCACACACACCCTGCACACGCTGCCATCCAGTGAGTGACTGGACCAGAGCGAGTGAGGCCATCGCCGGGACGACAGCGGGCCAAGGAGGCGGCAGGAGGCAGATCCGTGCTGAGGAGACGGGCTGGGAGGGGCGGGGGCGCTGACAGAGAAGAGAAGGCTGGCGCGAGGGCACAGGCGCGAGGGAGGGGCCCTATGAGGCCAGGAGTGACCGGGGGGGGGCCCAGCCACCCAGGGCCGACCTAGCTGGGGCGTCTCTGGCACAGCGGGATGGGCGGTGTGGGCAGGTGACACCGCGCAGGCACGTTGGGAAAAGCGGCTGACGGCGGAGCGAGGGCGCGCGGAGGGGAGCGTGGTGCGGCCGGGAGAACTGGGAAGCGGCACCAGCCACTGGGAGGGCGGAACCGCCACAGCTCCCCGGCAAGGCCCTGCCAAGGGCCAGCACACACAGCTGTCCAGGGAGGAGGGCCGGGCCGGGAGCAGAGTGTGAACCGAGGAGATGCGGAAGGAGCACCCCCGCGAGGGGGCGCCGCGGCCTCTGCTGCTCGCTCTGTCACTGGCTCTGGTGCCGGGTGGGACCCCGACACAGGTGTGCTACAGGCCTGCGCGGCGCCACAGCGCCCCTGGTCGCTCAGCGCTGCAGCTGCTCTTCTCGGGGAGCAGCCGCCCCACGCCCCGGACCACGTCAGCGGAGTCCAGCGGCCAGCAGGGTGCGGGCACAGCTGCGTGAGCCCGGATGGGTGGGGACCCGTGAGCCTCCGTGGGGGCCGTGTGCTCTGGACTCAGGGCACGTCTCTCAGGGCACTGGGCACACTGAGATGACGGGTAGAACCTGTCCTTCGAGGAGTTCTGGGTCGAGGGGCACTCTGTGCCCGGGGCACGGGCTGAGCAACGCCCTCCGCGTGGGGTGACGGGTGAGCGGGAGCGCTGCGTCTGGCCCGCCCGCGGCCGTGGACAGAGGGCGTCCGGGGCAGCTGAGTTTTGAGCTGGGTTTGAAAGCTTAATGCAGGTTTCAAGTTTTAAAAGTGTGTGTGTGTGGGGGGGGGGAGTCAAGGCGAGGTTCCAGGCAGAGTGAGCAGCTGTGCAAAGGCCCTGTGGCCACGCTGCTGGGCGCAGGGCTCCTTCGGGCAGGGTGCAAGTCGCCCCAGCCTCCCTCGGACGGACCCCAGCCAGCTTCTGCCCCTGCGCACACGGCATCTGATGGACAGACCTGCGTCTGCCATCCCAGCGGCAACACAGGAGAGAACGGCAGCCCCGGCCGGGCCGGGAGGCCAGCTCTTGCAGATGGGGGTGAATCGAGAGCCTTGGCCTCTTTAGCTGACTGCCCATATGGCTGCATAAGGATTGTTTTATTTTTTACTTTTAACACATTGTTTTTTACATATGGGGGACAACCTTACTTTCTGCCAGATGGACAGTCGATTCTGCTGTTTATCACTCATTAAATCACTTCCCTGCGAGTCTGAAACGTCCCGACGCGATGGGGCTGACTCTGGAGCCGCCCTGCGCTGCTCCTCGATCCGCTTCCGCCACGGCTCGCCCTGCTGACGTCTAGGGCCCTGGGACCTCAGCCCCTCACCGCGAGTGTGCCAGCGGGTGACTTACAGAAGGCGTCTAGCACAGCACCCAGCACCCAGTGGACCAGTCAGTGATGGTTCTTCTCTTCCTCCGCGACTCACAAAACCATAAAATGAAGTGTCAAAACTAATTTAGATTTTGTGTCTACACAGGGGTTTCCAAACGCACAAACTGCCAGCGAGGTTCAGATTAAGCAGAAAACAGCCAAAGCATAGTTCGAAACATGCGTGGAAGGTTTCCATTTTCCGATGTTTACAGCTGAAAGTGTCAGGTCAGAGCCCACTTAACACCTATGGGCTCCTTCACACCGTTTGTTTCGTCAGGAATTCCTGCTCCTTCAGTCTTGCCTGCCCTCTCGCCGCCTGCCCTCCCCAAGCCCGCCCGCCATTTTGAAAAGAAGGCTTATTTCCAACTGGTGACAGTTAGAAGCACCAGGTGAACTGTACTTTCGAATTGTTTCTTCTAGTGGTTCTTAGACCAGAGCTGCGGGAGCTGCACTTGATGCCATGATGGTTCAGCAGCCTTGTTTTAACACATCGGTTTGCATCTTTCCCAGAACTGGAGAAAGTTAACCCTATTATTGTTGCTTGGTCTCTGATTCTGTCCCTAGTAACTTACATTTAGAAAAATCACCCTTAAAGTGCTGCTTTCGCATTAACCCTTTTAAGTCCAGTGCTTATTTTTATAAGGATAAGTTTTCATAAAAACTTTAAATACTATTATACTTAAAGAAAAAGTCTTTGGAACCAACAAAAGCCATCACAATGACTTGGAAAGCAAGAGAGGCATTTTGTCAAATGTAGACTTTGTACTTGGAACCAAGATTTATTTTATGACTTTGACTTTGCCTCTGCCTCCTGCCCCAGGGAAGTGCTTCCTCGGGCTGAGCAAGGGACAGCGGCCTGTCCTGTCAGCGACACAGAACAGCGCCCGTCAGCGAGGTCTCCTCCGGCCGAGGCCGCCCCGTGCCAGCGCAGGGCTCTCCCGGCTCAGCAGGGGGCCGCGGGGGGAGGGCAGGGAGCTGGGCACGGGCTCCCAGGACACGAGCAGACGGCGGGAGCCCTCGCGTCTCCCCGAGAGCTCTGACACGCGTCCCTGCACCCTGTGGCGTGCTCTCCCCCCACAGGACGAGGGCGGGGGACCATGCGGTCACAGTCTCCACCGTGGGCTCCATCCTGCCTCCCTCCCGCAGCCACGCCTCAGTCGTTCAGGAAGCAATTACCCACTCTGTCCGTCAGGCAGGCCCTACCCTCTCCCCGGAGGCTCACCCTGGGCCATTTCACTGCTTGTTAGCACCGTGGAGGAGGGCAGGCCGCAGAGGGGCCAAGCTGAGCTCAGTGTGCCAGGCTGTGGGACGGGGAGGGGGTCTGGGGACAGGTCTAACAAAGGAAATGAGGCGCTGCTGGCAAAATGCAGTGTGCATATCACGCCGCACACAGCTGTCTTCCCATGCGCACCTTGATTCCCGTGGATGACTGTCGCCTAGGTAACTGAGACCTGCCCCCCACACACGGCTCTCAGGACAGAAGAAGCCCACCTGCAAAGGTCAGCAAGAATCAGAAATTCTACACTGTAGTTGTTCTTGAATGATGTTTAGGAAAAGTACTATAACAAATAAAAATTCTCTCCCAAAATGACAAAATTTTGTTCTAGTGAAATTAATGTAGTGCAAACATGCTAAAATTTAAGATTTCCATCCCCATTTATATTAAGAGAACAGATGGTGTTGTTACTTAGAGGATGCAAAGGTACAGAGATTAGCGGGTTTGTAGTTCACGGCATCATGGTTTATAATTTTCGATTCTAATTATCCAACCTCATAGGATGAAAACAAGGAAAAACTAGGCAAACGAAACAGAAGCAAAGCCTTGGTGTGCCTGATCCCCGTTCTCCCTGCGCCCCTCCCCACTGCTGCTTTATCAGGGAGGGGCACGGTGAACGGGCCCGCGGAGGGGGAGGCCCCGCCCCAGCCTCTTGGCCCCGAGACCCTGCTCGCTCGGGGAGGGCAGTCTGGTGCCAGCAGAGGGGAGCGTGCCTGAACGAAGAAGCCGCGCGTCCGGGTGAGAAAGGACCGGGAACCTGCAGCCGGCCCCTCCGCCAGTGACCAACGGCGTGTCCCTGCTGAGCCGTGTGTCTGAGTGCCTGCTCCCTGTTGCCCCGTCCTCCTTGCAGTTCCGCTCTGCCCCTCTCCCCTGGCCCCTCTGCTTTCCACCCTTTGGCCCCGATGACGTTTAGTGGCCGTCCGCTCTCTCTCCTCCCTTTGCTGCCAAACTCCGACGGTCTGAGCTGCACCCCCCCGCCCCCCGCCCCAGCCCTTCTCCCGGGCACTCTGCACTCTGTGCATGTCACTTCTAGAACCTGCCTCAGAGGCCGGGTGACCCGCTCCCCAAGTTCCCCAGCGTTGCCAGGGCCCGCCCTCAGCCGGGCGTCAGTGGCTCCCCCACCTCCCTGAGGCCTGGGCTCCAGCTGAGTTCCGTTCCAGTCCACGCACACCCAGCAAGTGTCTCTGCCGCTCGACACGCCCCAGGTGGGCTCGGACCCATGACACCGTCGCTGACTTCCGCCTCGCCCCCCCCCCCCCCCCCCGCTCCCAGCTGCGACCCGGGGTTGCCACCGCCCCGCCGAGCCACTGCAAACAGCAGTCACAGGACGTCCTTCCAGGCGCCCTCCGTCCTGTCTCACTGCGGTTTGCGGCTCGGGCCCCGCCCGCCCTCAGCACCGCGCAGATCCCTTCCGACGCGAGCTTCTCTGCCCTGCGACCCCAAGCGTCTCCTGTCCGGTCATCTTGTGAGGCGGGTCTGTGACGCCGGCATCGGCCCCGCGTGGCCTAGCGGTTATTTCCTCAGTAAATGGAGTGATAGTTCTTTGGTCTGAAACCTGAAAGTCCCCCTCTGCTCCTCTCTCAAACAATTTATCACAATCTGGGCTTTGCAGCTGTTGCTTTTTATTGCCGTTTCTTTCTGTTGCCCTGGACACAGCCAAGTTCAAATCCCGACCTATCGGGACCCGTTGCTGCAATTGTGTCTGGATGCTTGTCCCTCACTAGTTTGCTGCCTGGTCGATCCGCTGCATATACAGCTGTGCGCTGTGACGTTATCCAGCAACTGCCATCACGGAAGGATCCATAGCGGCCTCCGGAATCCAGAGTTGACCAGTTCAAGGCCAAGTGATGGCGCCTGCCTTTCTTCCCTTCGCTTCTAGGCCCCACGGTGCACACGGGGCTGTGCGGCTGGGAGCAGATCGGCAGCTACGCCAGCCGCCCTTCCCGCAGCTGGGTCCTGTCCCGAGCGAGTGGGCGTCCGTCCTGCCGCCAGACGGCAGAGACGCGAGCCGGTCTCCCGCTGCGCACAGACCGTTCGCAAGCGCAGCCGCAGCCCCGCTGCACAAACTGTTTTGTAAGTTGCTATTTTTCATGTGCCAGAAAATCACCGTTGTTTCTCCAGGTAAATGTCTGTGGACTAAGCTCATGTTTTGGATGGATACCTAATATTCCCCAGATGCGTATACTATAATTTACCCAACCACTTCTGTAATTTCCCCTATTAATGGATATTTAGGTTATTTATTTCATGTATTTGCTTTATTCCACTACAAGAAGGTCCAGGAAGTATCAACCATCTTTGCACCTATTTCCATAATATGGTTTTCTAAAATGATAGTGTCAGTACCGCCAGAGAGTGCAGAAATACCTGTACTTTTTATTAGTATATGACTATGCCCATTTCCCTAAGTGCCCGTCACTGACGGCTTCCCTGCGTGGCTGACTGTGGCAGGTGGCGTCGCGCATCTCACTGTTGCTGAGGGTCACCCCCTGGCCACGGAGGAGGGGAAGCTGTTTTATGCTGGGCCTCTTGCGTGTCGTCTGCTGTGAAGTTATTATTTTCACCCCTTGCTTATATTTCTTCTTTTTTAAAATTCCACATCAATTTTTAATAGCTCTTTGTATATTAAGGTATTAACCCTTTTATCCATCTGATTTGTTGCGAGTATTTTGTTCTAGCTTTTCCCCCTTTGTTGGTGGTAGTTTTCCCATGTACAAGTAGAAAACGTGGGCCCGCCGACAGCCTGCCGGGCCCTGCGCAGGCGGGTCCTCCCTGGCTGCTGCGTCTGCCCTGACCCGGGGCTGTGCCCTCGGCACCCCGCCCACGGCGAGGGCGCCCACCATCTCTAAGTGACACTGCCCCTCGGGTGGACGTGGACCAGGAAGAGCCCGCAGGAGACGGAGGGCGGCTCGCGGTCAGCAGCACACTGCGCGACGTCCCCGCAGGCAGGTCGCCGAGACAGGCGCCCAGACTCTCCGGTCCGGGGGAGTATTTCCCACCCTGACCCCTCCCTCACTGAATTTCCGGTGAAGTGTGGTGCAGAAATAAAACTCAAAGATTCGAATATGCTCTGACACAGGGACGTGTTGATAGAACTGTCCGTTTGCATTAATATTGGAATTATCGTGTCACTGTCTATTTTATAATTTTTTAAAGTTCAGGTTTTAAAAAATGTCTTACTTAGTTTTTTCTAAGGTGGAAACAATAGTAAAAGAATAAAGAACAGAAACATTACACAAGCTATGGCTACAAATGATAGAATGTGTAATCTGCAAACTATGTTTGTGCTCATGGGGGACAGAATACACAGTATCCACAGGAAGTTTCTAGAAACGGAAGCGCCCCGGACTGCCCCATGGGCGAACATACGGGTTTCGGAGAAGCAAGGGCTGGGCGGGGGTCTGAGAAGCGGAGCCCCGTTCCCCACGGCGCCCCTTCGCCCCGTGAGCCACACTCTCAGCCCCTGCACCAAGTGCCAAAAAGCACGCTCTCCAGGCGCCCCGGGGAGGCCGGAGGGCTGCGAGCACACAGTGGGCCTCGGGGGAGCAGCTGGACGGAGCAGCCCTGCCTGAGGAACAAGGGGGCGCCCCCGAGCAGCCCTGCGGCGGCAGGGCTGTGTGGTGGCCGCCGCCTCCCTCCACCGTCCTCCCGGGGTTCTCGCCGCTGGACATCTGAACGCGCTGTGTGCTTCCTCCTGGGGCAGGCCCCGCCCGGAGGACACAGCCGTGCATCCAGGAGTCTTCAGAGGGCAGGTGACATGACAGGCCGCCGCAGAGGGCAAGCTCTCCGCAGGACAGGAAGAGCCCTGGGGCTGCGTGTCACGCCAGGCAAGAGTGGAGGGAGGTCAGGAGAGCGCCAGGGAGGAAGCGGCGGGGCGCTGGGGCGGCCGGGTGGTGGAGGGACACGGGCAGGGCGGCTCTCCCGGGGCAGCGGCCAGCCAGTGGGGGGGCCCTGTCCGGCTGGGGTCCATGCACCCGGGGGATGTGGGACTGAATGGTGTGCAAACCCCCTGCTGCCCTCACTTCGTCTGAATTAGGGGTTCATGAGGCCAAAGGTGGAATTTGGGAGGGAGTTTCAGGAGGGAGGCGGGGTGACCGCGGGCGCGGCGGGCGGGCCTTGAGGGAAGCGCCACTCAGGGCTGGCCCCGCAGGGGCAGAGTCCGTAAGAGCTGGAGGGGCTCAAAGAAAGACAGCTGCTCTGGCTCTTTAATTCCCGGGACAGGTCAGCCCACGTGTCAGAGAGGGATCGGTGACAAACACGGAAGGAGAGGGCACCAGGAGGAAGGACCTCGCGGAGGAAAGGCAGAGACGCCTGCACGAGGACAGGCAGAGGACAGGAGGTGGGGACGCGGAGAGGCCTGAGGAGGGCGAGAGCGGGCCCCGCAGGGAGCGGCTGCTGACAGCGCTGTCCAGACCGGCCGCCTCGCCAGGCCAGGGCCCGCGGGCACGGCCGGCCTCCTGCCCATGCACCGGGCACGCGGGCCCGCCACGCTTTACCTTGCAGGACGTCTTCTCTCCCAGGAACGGAGGCAGCGTGACTCCGTGGGCAGGACCCAGAGTCAAGGGCTCTCTCTGCGTTCTAATCCTGGTCCTCCCCAGCTTGCGACTCTGGCGAAGTCACTTAATTTCTCTGCGCCTCGATGTCTTCATCTGCAAAAACATGAGCAATAATGAGAAGTGCCCAGGGACTGCACTGGCACATCAGGGAGAAAGGCCGGGGGAGAACATGCCCTTTGCGAAGGTCAGCAGGGGCCCTCGGCTTCCCCCAGGACCAGATGTCCACTCTCCAGGGACAGCGGCTCCCCGGAGGACAACTCTCCTGCTCATTTGGCTCGGAGAGGGCGTCTCCGTGGGACGTACTCGGGAGGTCCTGCCTGGGACGAGCGGTCTGGGAAGGCTTCCCCTGCCGACCAAGTCAGCTGTGCAGCCTGAGACATTCTGCTCCCCCCCGAGGACATCCCAGAACTCCTGGTGCTGGGGCCCAGCGGCCCTCCAGGCGTCCTTCCTGGATCTGCGGGGGGAGCAGCCCTACGCGGGGTGGCAGCGCGGATCCGGCCCAGAACGTCCTCTCACCCTTATTCAGTCTGCAACCTGCCCAGGGCCACAGGAGCGCGAGGCCAATCTCTGTAAAGACTGTAGGGCCGCTCTTGAGTTTAAGAACATCACCTTCTTACCCCTACGTCATTTGTCCATCAACCAGACTTTCTGCTCCTTTCATGAAGGAAGAAGCTGACACAGAGAGGTCCAAGTATCTGCTTAGAGCCACCCAGCTAGTGTGAGGCAGCGGACGCCACGCTGAAACCGGGCTCTCCCATTCGCAAACCTCGGCTCTCCCAGTGCCCAGTCCTGTTCAAACAGACCCCCAGCGAGAGCCTCCGGGGCTGAGGGGCCGAGGTGCAGAGAGGAGCTGGCCGGGGCCTGAGAAGCCTTCGGGTGGCGGCACCAGGCAGTGTCCCACCTCATGAGGGCCCTGGAGGGGGACTCCAGGGGGCTCCTTCCTTCACCAGGACCTGCGCCCCACAACGCGTGGGGCTGCTGGTGGCTGCGCCAGGCCCACACGGCTGAGGGGCCGAGCACCGGGCGGGGCCAGAGGCGATGCACTCAGGGTCCACAGGGCAGCACCGGCACTTCTGTCCAGCGACACGACGGGTAGCCAGGGCCCCACCCACGGCCAGCCCAGCGCCTGCTGCCGAGGCTCAGGGGCAGCAGACGGTGGGGCGGCCGGGTGTGCCGAGAACAGCGGCCGGCAGTCCTTCAGGCTCCAGGGAGCCGGGCTGGTCGGCCTCGGCCGGCCCTTGGGACCGAGCTGCAAAGCCTTCTTCATACACTTGAGGTTCCCAAGGAAGGACCTCAGCCCCATAGAGAGTGACTGAGTGTTCAGACACGTGTGTCTGGGCAAGAGCGTGGGGTTGAGCCCACAGAAGGGTCAGAATTGTAAGGTGGCTCTGCCGGGACTGCCCCACGTCCCGGGAGGCAGGGACACTCTCCCAGGTTGCGGGTGGGCGAGGCCTCCACACCCACCTGTCAGGAGGAAGGACCTCGCGGAGGAAAGGCAGAGATGCCTGCACGAGGACAGGGAGAGGACAGGAGGTGGGGACGCGGAGAGGCCTGAGGAGGGCGAGAGCGGGCCCCGCAGGGAGCGGCTGCTGACAGAGGGAGAGCTCCCTGGGGCACTTGGGAGGTTTGCGAGGAGCCTCTGTTCTGCTCGGTGCCTGCGGGCAGCCCTTGCAGTTGGAGGGAGGCTGTTGCCCCGTGTTTTAAACCTCAGAGACTCGGAGGGGAAGCTGAGTGACTGCCCGTGGCCAGCAGGGTGACCTGCGGAAGCGGCGCCGCCCCTGGCTCTCAAGAGCAGTGTGGGCCCAGAACAGGGCCCTCCTGGGGCCGCCCCGCATGGCCCCGGCTGGAGCGAGCGCGCGGAATACTGCGGGGCTGCCGAGCTCTCTGCACATGCAGGAGGCTCCTCGCTGCCTGGCTCCAATGTTGTTTCAGAGAAAGGAAATCACAGGGTGAAACGGGGGAGGGGGAGAGGGCCAGACGGCCCCTCCCCGGGCAGGGGAGCGCCCGCCTTGCGCTGGGCCCTCGGCCAGGCCCGCCCCGCGTGCGCGCTGCTCGTACCCCCACATCCCCGAGAGGCCCGCCGTCTCAGCCTGCCTAGCAAATGGCACCTGGTACCTTGACCCAGACCAGGCGAGACGTCGCAAGGGCCACTGCAGGAACCCTACGAGGCGCGGCAGAGCAGCTGTCCCCACGGGAGGATGGGCTTGCACAATGTCCCTTCAGAGCTGTCAATGCAGAAATAAGTATCTGCTTGTCCCGGCTCAACAGTGGCCTTGCAAGGACTGAGCAACTTGCCCACCCAGCAGCAATCGGGTCGAAGCCTGTGTCTGTCTCGGGTGCTGAGCCGGGTGCTGGGACACAGCAGGGAACCCGCAGAGGTGGCAGGACAGGCAGACACAGGAGCACAGTAAGTCAGGTGGGAGAAACAGGCAGGGGCTGGAGCGCGGCAGGGTGTGGCCATCTCCGGAGGTGGGTCGGGAGGGGCCACCTGGGAAACCGGGCCCCTGAGCAGAGAAGCTTCCTCCCGCCTGCAGCCACACCCAAGGGCCCCCAAAGCTGCTGGGGTTCTGGACGAGGCGGCGCAGGTGCTCTGCCTCCAGAGCTCCCACCAATGCCCTGTCTGCTGTCCGAGGGGGCCCTCGGGGACGCAGGGCTCAGCGGAAGTCAACAGGAGCCCAGGGCCCTCTGCACCTCTGCTGCTGCAGGAATGGGAGGCACCTCCCAGGCACCGGGAGACCCGTGTGAAGGCAGAGTTAAAAGACAATAAAAGGAAAGCAGTATTTTGAATCAAGAGGGAGGAGCTGGCCTGCTGGCTAAGACGAGCGAAATAATCATATAGAAGGCGTACACACATACATACGTATGATATGAGTATGACATGTAAACACAAAGGCAGGTGGGACCGACCGGTGGATGCCTCCGGAAGGTCTGACCCATCTTGTCTATCTTAGCTACGGCATCCTGACATCTATCCACTGGGCCACATCTGATGACAGCAGACCCTAATTTTCTTATATGGATTTTATGACACAGATGGCAATTAGAAAGCATCTTCCTGCTTGAATCACAGTGTAAAGGCAGGGACGTTCCAATCTTGCTAATAACTGGGCCCACAGGCCTGCTGACAATGCCGCTACCTCTCCTGTCAAGTGGCCGGTGTGGAGGCAGGTCACCTGGGGCTCTGCGCCCACAGCGTCCCAGGCCAGGGGTCCGACGCCCCTGACACAGACCTTCCACTCACTCGGCCAGCTCAGCCTGGCGACTGCTGGCCGGGAGCACGGGGTCCGGAGGGCCGCCTGCACACCCGGCAGCGTGGAGGGCTGCACGAGGCTCCCTGTGCCCCCGCCCGGCAGCCGTGGTCGGCAGGGCTGCCCGTTCGGGCCCAGCGGGCTTGAGTCCGGGCCTGACCAGTGCCAGCCGGTTCCTCGGTCTCAGGAGTACCAACTGCTCTGCGTCCCGGGTCCCCTTTCCATGTGGGGCAGCGATCGCTGCCCGGGAGGCTGTGGGGTGCGGTCAGTGAGGGACCGCACAGACACGCAGTTCACAACCCTTGCCCATCAAATAAGCCCTTTTCCAGGGTAAAACGAGGAATTATGAAGACTGCAGCAATATTTTAGGTGTCTTTGATACAATTTTGAAACAAACATTAGGTTGCAAAACTGTAATTATATTACGCTTATAAGCAAAAACACACAAGGGCGTGAAGCAGCGGCCAAGGAATAATCACTGCCTTTTGCACCACGGCTGTCGGTGGTGCCTGTGCTGCGACGGGGCAGGAGCATGCGCGCCCCAGCCTGCGGACCTCCCCTCGTCGCGCAACACTCCTAAGTCACCCGTGGCGCGGACAGTGCTGCTGTTCTCGAGACGGCCTCCAAACATTCAATACACACCCTGGCTAATACCCAGTTCTCAGGATAAAAGGACACATCACTAACGAGACTAGCTGTCTTTAATAATGGCGGCTGAACGACGAGACTGGAGATTTTTGTTTTGCTCTACTCAACTTCCCAGTGAAGAGGACTTAATTTTGGCAGAAAACGGAAGTTAGACCTAAGCCTGTCCCTAGCTGTGTTGTGGCTGCCGGTCTGGGACAGGGGCAGTCGCATTTCAATGCAGGGGTCTCAGGAGCAGACATGCCGCAGCTCTGACTTCACGTGCAGGGCCAGCCTGACCCCCGAGGGGCAGACACCCCCTCCAGCCCCACACCCCTCGCTGCGCTTGCGTGCTATACAACACCAAGCGGCTGAGGAAACGTTTGTCCCTCAAACCCTTAGGAGGAGGAAGAAGGCTGGAGCGTGACGTCCTTCCAGAGCCGGCGGCCTCTCTGCCCCCAGCCCCGGAGGATGGACCATCCTGCTCACAGGCTGTCGACGGGACGCCCGCCCTGTCCCCCCAGGCGGACCCACGGGCTGCAGGGGAGGCGTGGGGAGGCGCGCAGGCTCTCACAGCGACCGCGTTTAGTCTGCGCAGGAGCCTGAGCCCCAGTGGAAGGACGCAGCCCGGGGCTGGGGGGACTTGTTGGTTGGACGGGTGGAGGGGATGAACTTTGACTTGGTTTAAAATACCAACTTATTTTAATCTAGTGTTTGATGCTGACTTCCACACCACGTAAGCTCTATTACCTCCGTTTCTCACAAAGAAATGGATTTGGAGACAGGCAAATGAAGTAACAGGCCCCGTTCACTCAGACCCAAGGACAGACCTCTGCCCAGCCCGGCGCCCGAGGCCACCACTCGGACCTGGTGCGAGCACATCTCAGCAAGGAGGGCCCGGGGCCCCGCCCACACCCTCCCCGGGGGGCTGGCCTGCGAGCAGTGTCGTTGCTATCTGTTGCGACTTTTATGCCATGTAAACACGTGCACACACAAACTCACGCACAAGTCATATCAATGCCACTGGTGTCACTGCGTGTGTGAAGACATGGGATGGCTGCCCTGTGAACACAAGCGCTGTTACGTGTCACCATCTTCTACAACCCGTTTTCAATTAGAGCTGGAAGCATTTCTATGCGAGAGTAATAAACGCCACTTTGAATTTCGTAATTGGTGGTCATTATTCCACAACAGGCTATGCCTGATGAGACTATCAAATGT